CTCCCATACTATCCTTTTTAGTTCTTTATGAGACTAATCAAACATTTCAATTTGTAACGTCTAGCCAAAGATTTCAAGACACAAGAAAATCAAGAAAAAAATAAATATGAATTCGATAACAAAACAAATACGAACATGAAAAAAAATAGAAATGAATATAGAAACAAATACAAAATAAAAATGAATAAAAAAATAATAAAATTCAAGAATTGACTCTCTAAAACCTAAAAACTAGTGTAGACTTAAACAATCCAAATTCATATACAAACAAAAAAGTGCCCCGTAATCATAAATTTTGGCATATGAAATCAAAAATTTCAATTTTTTTCTAAGAATTCTAAATTCAGTTGTATAATCACTACTCATGGTAGAAACTTTCTAATGTGATTTCATCTTTTTTTTTCTTTTTTTAATAAATTAATTTAGAATTAACTAAAACTTAATAGTAACTCTAGCTTTTTTTAATAATAGATTCCATAATTTAATAATTGTAAAAAAAAAACACAAGCAAATAACATGAAAATTTAAATATAAATAAATAGATAAAAGATGTGTTAGAGCTTTACTTTGATATCAACTGATGTATATCAGGAGGGTAAGAACCCTTGAACACATATACAAGATAGAAATAACTTTAAAAAACTAAAATCAAAGTTATTGGATGAAAAACCCCAACTCATTCATTATAATGAACCAAGAACCGGAAGTATAAGAAAAAACATCACAAAAATAAATAATCTTTCATAAATTCTAAATAGTTTAATGAAAAACCAAAAGTATGAGCGACCTCATGCATGAGCACACATAATATTATTTTAAAACAAAACCAGTTCTCCTTCAAATATGGCTTAAAAAGTATATAGTCTACCGGACTTGCAACCTTTTAACCCAAACATCTTGACTTAACCCATTAAATTTCTTCTTGATTTTCTTAATCTTAGACCTTGTAATAGACTCAATTAGTATCTTTAATATTATAGTTTTAGGTTCTTGGAAAAATTATAATTCATACTAGTTTGGTTTCAATTTAGGTGTAATTAGTGAGTAACTTATTGTTTAACTTAAAAATTGATTTCGAGTAATTGAAATTACAAGATTTTGATTCAAGTCTTAAAGAACATGACAAATCAGTTTATATCAAATCAGTTGTTGCATTAGTACTTTCCAAATTTTTTGAAAGCTTGATCTCGAGTTATTTGAGTCTATTATGATTTTTATTTCATAGTTCTTTTTGAATTTTATTTTATTTTTTTTATTTTTATATTTGTTTTCATTTCATTTGTGTATTTATTTTTGTTTTCACTTTTATTTTTATTTTCATTTAACTGTCATGTTTCTTAAAATCTTTCGTTGGACATTATGAACTAAATTTTTTATTGTTTTTTTTAGTTCCTTAAAGAACTAAATAGGGGAGCACAAAAGGTGAGCACAAAAGGTATAAGTATAAAGGTGGGTATATTATTATGAAAAACAAAGTTAAAATTTGAGTGAAACACAAGTAAAGTGATATATCATTAAGTATACACATATGAGAGTGTGTAAGAATTTTTTGTTTTTACAAACATAAAACTTCATATTTGAATATATCTTTCATTGATAGGTCATCCCCTTAGAAGAAGAATATTTGAATATATCTTTCATTGATAGGTCAATGACATAGACAAATTATTTATTTTTGTTATAGACAATGCAACAATAATGTAAACATATAAATGTGAAGTTTGATGATATAAGAAACTGGATGGATAAACTATATTTTATGTTTACTAATTTGAGAAAGAAACAACCTAAATAGTTTCTAGTGCTAGAAGGTAGGATAAACTAAGAATTTAAACCCTGAAAACCGACAATTAAAAGGCTTATATGAGATTAATAAAGGAAAGCAAGGATGAAAATTTATTAAAGAAATAAATAATCTACTTATTAATTGAGGAGCTACAATACAATGCTAAAAAGATAATCTACTTGTTAATTCAGTTTCTTAGTTTAGATAATCATTGCATCAAGTTCTTTTCACTTTGATTTTAATTTTATTTGATTATTTCTATCTTATTTATTAATATAAGAGTTTTTACTTTATGAATTCACGTCAATAACTGATATAATAATAAACATATGTTGTATAGAGAGGACAATACAAGGGATAGGTGTTGTTTTGTGTGGGTTCAAGTGGTCCTTCATGGTTCTAATATCAGGTTGCCTATCTTCCTTCATTGATATCTAGATGACGTCACCCTTATTAAATAAGAACTTAAAATAAAATAAACAAAGACAATGTAATAATATTAAACAATATATTTACACACGGAATAAGGAACATATCATGAGTTGTAATGTAATTACAACTTACCGTATGCTCCATGAAAAGAACTTCTTATCTATCGGATCAACATATTGTTAAGCTTAATAAAAAAAATCATGCCACCTAAAAAAATTACAAGCAAGATGATTGCTAAGATGCCTGATATTGATCTGTTAGTACAAGCAATGGATAAAGGTGATTCTCCTATCCAAGAAGAGCCAAACAATCCTCCATAGATGCCTGAAGAACAACCTACATTATATCATTGTTTATGGTTTAATGGGTTTCAATAATTTCTTCCAGGTTATTTGTCAATTGCCAAGCTGAATCACTGTAATTAGAAGTAAACTATAACTAATCAGCTACAAGTCTACAAAATCAACTACAAGTATATAGAATACAGCTTGTGCTTGTAAGGCTCGAGCCTTGATAAAAGAACATTCTGTACATTGTTAAACTACTATGTATGTAATGGTTTAAACTCCATTGAACAATCTTTTTCACTCTCTGCACATTCAAAGTTTTGTCTTCTTTTTTTGTTCTTCTTTTCTCCTCTTTTTTTTCGAGAAACTGGTGGTTGGATTGAACAACATAGCTAACCTGGAGTCATCAAAGATAAAGAAAGTTGTGTCACTCATCAGAGTCCCTAGTCACCCCAGCAAAATTCAGGGAGATGGCAGCAGTGATGGTAAGTTGGTATCTAATGCAGGAATAGTCAAGAGAAACCCTGAATTTGAGGATGGATTTCCAGGTGGCGGTTATTCCTGGAACTTGAAGATGCAATTATGGGTGGAATCCCTGAATGTTGCAGGCCATAATAAATGTTTTAGGAGAAGATCTTATTAGTTCCATGGCTCTGTTATGAAATTATTTCTGAAAGGTTAAAGCTTCAATTATTTAGCCAAAACCCTGAAACTAATAAACCTACCATGACATTGGTTCAAAGTTCAATGCAGAAACCCCGAGCCCGAGACTGATGGTTCCTGAGATGGAAGCACCGGACAGCATAGGGCTGTTGATTGTTACTGATGCTTGTGCAAGGTTGAGGCATCGTGCATCGAGAGTTTGTCTTGGTCTATGGCAGACATCGGATGTAGCCTTGAGTAGTTTGAAAATATGTGTTGGGTGTCGAGATTTCTCACTTGAATTGGAGGTCATTTATCAGCTTTGCAAATGGCCACCGGTGCAAGCTCCATTTTTTGTAGCCTCCCATGAACCATAGTTGGCGGATGGTGTCTATTCTCATTGAAATTATTGGGCAAATTAGTTATTAATTCACATGAAAGGAAACATCCTCGGGCATAGAGAGTACTAGACTAGGGCACACATGGGTCTACATTTATTTTATTTTATTTTTGTAAAAAAATAATGTATAGATGTTGCAAGAGTATTTTAAGGAAATAAAAAAACTAACTACTCCAGTTATAGCATCTAATGAATTGATTTTATTTTAATTTTATGATAAAAAATAAATAATAATAGTAAATAGACAAAAAAATTTTAAATAATAATAGTAAATAGACAAAAAAAATTACAATAACTTGGAAAAAAATCTTTGAAAGCACAAAATTAGATTTAAAAAATGACACAATAACTTGAAAAAAAAATCTTTGAAAGCACAAGATTAGATTTAAAAAATAATAAAAAACTTAATCTAAATTAACTCGAGTTAACATAATAAATATATAACTTAAATAATAATAATTAAGTTAATCTGGATTAATTCACAAAATCAATAAACTAAATTATAAAATTAAAATAACTCAACAACAAAAAAAAATTAAAAATTTATTATTCTACAGTGTATAACACATGTATCCATCATATTTTTTTTAATATTAATTAAATATTAAAGAATAAACTTTCACCTTATCCCACTTAACGAAAAAAAAAGTGGGAAAAACTGAAAAAAACCTGGACCAAAGTCAATTTTTCTTCAACTTCAAGGGCAGTCATGTAAGAGCCTTAAAGGTGAAAAGGCATGAATGCCCCTAAATCATAAAAATACCCTAATACGTCAGCAGCCATTTCACTCTTACACGAACTAAAGTACTGTACACTGTAGACATCCCCTTCTCTTTCTAGTTTATTTTATTTTTTTGTCATTGTTATGTTATATTTCACCTCATAATCATCCTTTTCTGAAACAACCTCTCATCGTAAGCATGACCAGTCCCATTGACGCAAATACATTATCATTCGCGAGATTCCGGTGCGTTTCCTGTCCACAATCTGGAAGTAATCAAATTCCGCTTGCCGCCTAGTTACAGTGCCTGTCTGAAATCACTGTTTAAATGGAGTTTGCTAGAATACAAGACTTGACAGCCAAATTATCAAAAAGTGAGAGACTGCAATGCTGATAAACAGATCGTTTCAATGCTAACCATCACGTGAAACTCCATAGGCAGGTTTCCCTCTTATCTACGCTCAAACTTCAAACAGTTTCCCTTTCAGAAGAGTGTATAAGCTACCATAGCAAAAAATGCACTTCTCCTCTCCTACTCTAAAAATTATAGTAATTATAACAGAAAAATAATTGCTTCCATATCAACTTAACGAGTAAAAAAAAAAAGGTTTGGTTTCTATTATCTTCCAAATTCACCATGACAACACATTTCATTTCACATCGTTTGAGCAGCATCACAAGGCTATTTGAGCAAAAATAATGCTAACCATCACGTGAAACTCCCATAGGCAGGTCTTAGTACAGTTTTTTTCTGTTTTTTCAAATAGGAATCTTAGTACAATTTTAAAGACAAGGAATATAACAAATATTTCTCACATGGGAAAGACAATGAAACAAAAAACACTCTGTTATATTCTAGTTGCCGAAAACAATTATACTATTGGCTGTAACAAGATATAAAAAAAGGCTTTTTGGATCAGCACAAACTTCTAAACTAAATGCCAAACATGACATCAAAGATTTTGGATACCATGGACTTTGCTGGGGAAGCAATCACACCTCCTGACTGCCGGGCACTGGTGCTGCCATTTTGAAGATAGTGGGGGCGAGGAGAGGCTCTTAATGCGTTTGACTCTGGGGTTCTAGTCGATGATGGTGGGGGTAAGGTCATGAATCCCTGATTGTTAATTCTTTCATTCAAAGCCTGGCGTTGCATTGGATCAACTAGCTTCACACCAATGATTAGTACTCCGTTGATTTGCATCCCATTCTTGCTAAGAGCCTTCTGAGCATCAGCTCGACTCTACACATAGCAAAAGGACAGACCACTAAATCACAATTCATAAGCTTTGACATGGAGCAGACTCAAAATCATGTAACACCTTGATACCATGGGCTAAAAGCATCAGAAAAAGTTGTGCACAATTTCTGATACAAAGAAGCAAATAGAAAAGGTTCCGGAAGACTTTTGGATAAAACATATAGGTATAAAGCACAATGACCAAAACAGTTGGACAGATAAGATTGTCAACAATGTATATAATAATAGTGGATATATAACACACAATTCTTGGTGAAAAAAGATGAAGCATACGAGGGACAATAAGCCAAGAAAAAAAAAGCAAGAGGAAGAACATAAACCAGACAGCAGCAGCTTATTAATTTTTGTCTCAATTGTGTTCTTGCTAACACAGAGTATTCATTCTGCAAGCTTATGGAATCAAATTAGGGTAAGAGGACTAATAAGAACCCAGGTCACTTGTTGATCTGAGAAATGATGGCTGAATAAACTACTCACTCAAAAGGGTCCAGAACCTAATTCAAACCCTTCAAAAAACTGGCAAAGGATGCATGTATATCAGGTGAACACTCTGTAGCAACCATATCATGCAAATAATATATCATATTGGGTGATAGCGAGAATCTACAGAAGAACTTAGTTGATTAGAAGTCATCATGAAACAACCAAACAGGTATGCATGAATACTTCCATATTCCCACGAAACAAAGAATTGAGGAAATGTTAAGCCTCCTGAAAGTTTCAAATTCTCTCATATGTACACCAACCTTGTCAACATTTAAGCTCAGTTAGCATATGTTTCTGAGATGCAATTGTTCATTTATATAGAAGAACCATAAAAGTGCCTAAAGCCAAAAGAAAATTTGCAAAGATGACATGAAAAAAAACAACAAAAGAACAGCCTCTCAAATGATGATACAAGGAAAACAAGTAGAACCTGATAGAGAATGTGCATCCAGTTAGCTTCCCTTGGACCAGGAACATGTTTCAAGATCACACCGCATTTTTCAAACTCCCGTAACACTAAATTGGTATCACCTGGAGCAAATCTGAAAAATAAATATTTCCAATAAGTGGTATATATCTAGAATGTAAAGAAACAACATGGAGAAATCAAGGACATTTCTCAACTTGCGACATAGATTAATAAAGAATAATAATAGACAAGCCTCCAAGGCTTCAGATTCCTGGCTGCATGCTTTTAAGAACTTCATTTACCATCCAACCACTAGAAATGAATAGCAACAAATAATTGCAATCATCATTGGTTTGGCTTAAAACACTCCATCTTAGAAGCCAAATATTGTTTCTCAATTAAATCTCAAAAATGGTTAAATGGACCAATTCTCCCATTCTGTACCCCACCTCATTAACACATGTTTCTATACACTAACCAATCATTGGTCAAAATCTCCATCTCATGTTGTTTTTGTGATTACGGAAAGCAGCTCATGTCATCTTCTTCTTTAGATGGATTTAAGCTTTATAATCAGAAATTGCAAGATTTTTCCAACAGAATAGTGAGAAAATACATGTTTGTAGGAGTCTTGATTGAGAACTTCTTTGGCATCAGATAATCAACCTTGCATGAGCAGATGATACAGAGGATTTTACTGGCAAGACTTAAATACCACAGAAGGGGCTTCTGTATGACTCTCATAGTGGCAGCATAAGCAATTTAACGGCAATAAATTGACTTTGCTCATCACATCCAGCATAAAATTTCAATATTTTTTTATTTGTGTTATGTGAGCTTAAATTAGCTTATTTTCTTTTCTAATTGTCACACAGAAAACGATAATCTGGAATCTGTCCAAAACATCAATCATTTATAGGATGGCTGAAACAATTAAATTGCACCCTGCTAGCTCCTTTACACGGATAACAAACATAAAAAACAATTCCAAAATCAGTTTAAATATAGCATGGTAACTTATTATGTGTTCTTGTTTAGTGGTTGAATGTGGCTTTTATGTCAAAATTTTATCTCATGATGATGCAGAAACATCCATACTTGTAATGACTTTTGAGAAAGAGTTAGAGATCTACATAGATAGATTTGACTCATTTGCTACAGTTACAAAAATTTTGAGGTGCACCTCGACACCTAGGCACAATTTTATAAAGTTAAATGATATGATTCTGAAACTTATTTAACTATCTATATGCAGCATACTAGCATTTAGATTGCACTCGTCCACCACAGGCATAGATAATAAAATGAGAATCAGATTTGCTTGTTTAATTCAATTTTACACTTGAATCAAAGTACTTCCATCCTATAATTGATAAGATATATCCTCCCTCAGTCTAATTCAAATTCAGAAGGTGATACCCCAGAAAGTTCAGTTAAAAAAAAGGATCAAATTTGGATTTAATGATTTATATGATGGGTTCAATGCTATCATATCTTTAACTAATTCCTGTGAAGATATTTCATCAACTCTATTCATTTTCAACCTAATGATTGAGAAATAATCACAAATCATAAACTAGGATAATTTCGAAACTTTGATTTCTCTTAACGTAAGTAACCTTTAAGGTTCTAACTGTCAGCATTGTAGAGATCTTCCAGTAGTTTTGACAAGAGTTGTAGGCATATCAAGGTAGACACAGCAAACATGGAAAGCTATTTGCACAACAACCATATTTCATCGCTATCATAGTAAGACCAGCCCCAACTAGTTTGGTACCGAGGCTTAGTTGTGGTTGTTATTATAGAGTACATAAAGCCACCAATCTAAACACTACAAAAAACAGGCCTAATTCAACGTTATCTGCACCTGTGAAAATCTGACAATCTAAATGCCCAGTACATATTTTCAAGCTAAAGTAGATATCCATTGATAGTATAGAAAGAAGATAGCAAGGAAAAGGAGGTAACATCAGACTACATGATAAAATGCTAAGAGAGGAAAACAAGAAATAACAAATCAATGGGTGCATATAAAAAGGGAGATGAAATAATACCCATAAACAGTAACCCATTCTTCCTCGTCAAGGTTACCTGCAGGCACACAGTTCCTATGCTTCTCCGGTCTTGCAACTTCTCGAGGCGGTGGAAGTGTGATTAAAGCACCAGGCTGGACCACACCCTCAACCGGAGAACCTTTGCCTTTGTCTTCGTGTTCGCTGCTTCTAGCTTTTGACGGTGACCACCAAGTCGAAATCGGAGAACCCTGTTGAGTGTTCTGCCCACTGATCAAAGCAAAGGAAGTAGTAGCCTCGGATTTGGTTTTTGGGGGAGTACCAAACTCCCTCCCAGAAGACTGAAATGGAGATGTTGTAGGGTGAGATTTGATGTCAGGAGATAAAGGGTAATCAGGAATCCCAGACTCGGGAGAGATTTCCGAACGGTCCTCCAAGGTGTAAAAGGGAGGAGGAGGAAGATCGGAACCCCCAAAATTGTCACGCCATAGAGCAGATACAGCAGCAGCCTGAGCTGGAGTCGAGAACTTCCCTTTACCAGCAGAAACAGGTGATGCCAAATCTTGGAAAAACAAGGATTGCCTCCCAGAGGATTTATTCACTAAACTCATATTTCTTTCTTCTTCTTCTAACAACACACCTAAAGCTAAGCAAAAGGAAACCTCTCCTCTCTACGACAACCTAAAGCAACACAGAAATCAATCAGCAAAATATTTAGAAAAGCAATGAGAATTTCGGAAGAGATAAAGGGAGAGAGTACCTGTGAGTTTAGGGATTTTTCCCTCCTCAAAGCAAGCTGAGGAGAGAGCTATCGCCGCGTCTGGGTCTAAACTGTAATGGAGCCCTAAAACCCCGATTCTGTGAATTCAAATCTTTTTTGAGTTTTTTACTTGTTGAATGATGGAAATGCCCTCCCTTCTGGGCTTTCTTCTTCGCCTTCTTATATGAGGGCACTTTTGTGATTCGTTATTTGACGCCGTTCTTTTTTTTTTCAACCCCCTTCTACCATAATTTTAGACATCCTTGCCCAACATTTGAATTTGTTTTTGAATGTACCCTTTAATCAAAAGACGGAGTAGACCGTTAGTTAAATCTATCCAAGTATTTTATAATAATACGAGATGATAGAACATGTTCGCTGGTCTGACTGTTTTTTTTTTTAAACATGTTCGCTGGTCTGACTGTTTTTTTAAAAAAAATTGAATTTCATTTTATTTTAAATTAATATTTTAATATTTTTAGATTGTTTTTATGTGTTAATATTAAAAATATTTTTTAAAAAAAATATGTTATTTTAAAATATTTTTTAGTAAAAAAACATTTTAAAATATAATATCTATCATACTACTAAACAGATACTAAAACATTTCATAAGATCTTTTTTTTAAATAAAAAAATTAAATAGACCACAATGTGTACTTATCCCATTTATAGTCAATGGAGGCGTGGTTAAAAAATTAGATTGGGGTTTTATATTTAAATTTTAAATTTTTAATCTATTTTTAACCAATAAAAATCCTTATAATATCAATACACTAATTTATCAACTTAAAACACCCTAAAATTTATCTAAAAACACATAATCAAATTAGAAAAAATAAAAACTTTATCAATCCCGATTTATTTTTTCAAGCAAGTTGGAGATTGAAAAATACCCTCATTGAATTCCTCATATAAAGATGAGTCAATGATACAAATATCTTTCATTTTGGTTCTTAGAATATAATCAACTAATAAATTTTTTTTCTTCTATTTTTTATTAAAATTCTCTCTCATCTCTTAAATTCAAGAAATGAAAAATAAACAAAATGATTTTTTTGAACAAAATAAAAAAATTTGATAAATTAATCATGAATTTTATTCATTTTTATATTATGGCTCTCTCGCTTTTGATTTTGTTTTTCTCCTACAATTTCAAACTTTATCTCATTGAATTAGATCACGAAAATAATTAAAGTAAAAACAACCAAAGGTGTTGTGATGGAATTTAAAAACAAAATGCCAAAGTGAAACAAAAAAAAAATATGAAGCACCATAATAAACTTCGAATCTTTTAGTGTTTTGAATAGTATTAGTTTTCTTGACTTGCGTTAAACTGCATGTAGAATCAAGAAAAAAAATTGAACCTAAAAAAAGGTTCATATTGTAAGGAACTCTTTGGCATTGTTATTAAACTTGATCTAGTGGATCAATATTAAAAATTCTCATTGCAACTCCTTGCCTAATTGAGTTTCAAATTAAATCATGTGAGAGTTTTCTTAACATGACTTAGTCAACATGATGGGTTCAAAGATAACTCATACAACAGGTAAAAAGTATGGTTTAACTTTAATTAAATTTTTATTATGATATCTTTTTTTTATATTGAGACAACGATATATTATATTGACCTGGGTTTCATGACTTAAACCACAAAACTCATGACTTAGATTATAGACTCCATTGGATTTTACAACTTTGTTTATTTAAATGATTTTTCACGTAATGATATGATAAATAAAAAAACGCCTGCAAAATTAAATATCAATCAAATATCAGGACTTTTGTTTAAGACAACAAGAACCTCATAGAAAGTAAAAAAAAAAAACAAATTGTAAATATCAATTCAAAATCAATCAAATATTGAAGGATAAAATTATGAAAACAAAAAAGGATTCAATCAGAAAAAATAAAAAATATAATTTTAAAAAATAATTGTTTATCATTGTTATTAAACCCAAACCAACGGGTCAACCTTAAAACTTTTGATGTCACTCTTTGCTTAGTCTAGGCTTAAAATTAACCTATATAAGAATTGATTCTACATGACCTAGTTGAGTTGGTGGGTCTAAAAGCAACCCAAACAACCAGTAAAAGTATGGTTTGGCTTAAAAAAAACTCCAAAATGATATTTTTTAATATTAAAATTGTCACACTAAACATCAGAGTGACCTTTAAAAAATAGGAAGAACAAAAAAAAAAGAAAAAGAAGAACGAATATCTAGCATCCTGACTATGAAAGAAAAAGGTTCATAAAGTTTAAAAAAGGGGTTTCAAGGTTTTAAAGATTCAAGATCATCATCATCAACTTGGCTCATTGTGTTTTTCAATCTTTTTCTTTTCCTACATTTCTTTGATTTGCTCTTTTTATGGCTTTGGTAGGGCATTCTCATTTGTTTTGACTTTTACTTTTTCTTTTGATCTAGGAATACCCCCTAGCATTTAAGTTTTTTAGGCTTATTTTGCCTTTTGGCTTTCTTATGATTTATTGATCTTTGAAATTTCAATTGTTACTAGTATGGAGTGTAATTCTAGCATGATTTTTCATGAAAGAAAATTTATTTAAGCTCAAAAGGAACAAATGATATATATATTTTAGAATGTGAAAGGGATAAAAAATGGTATTTTCTCATTTCAAGCGCAAATGATTAAATCCAATAAACTTTGACCTCGTCCAATATAATGAATTGAACTTTGCAAAGAAATGCATTTCATGAGTCCATAATCATTGAATCCACTATATACCATTATGCATATAAATAAAACATAGCTCAAGAGACATGGTGAGAGGGTGATTGTTCGATTCTCAATTCATATATTTTAGTTTAAAATTTGGTCACCTTAGTAAAAGAGTTGTTTAACTCATTTGTCATTCATCATTCTATAAATAAGATATCAAATGTTGTTTTAAAAAAAAAATATTTTCAAAATTAAAAGCAAGTTTAATTTTTTGAAATCTCACTAGAAAAAAAGATTTATTGTAAAAGAAATGAGCTAAGTCTATTAGATCAAGTAAGGTTATAAAGGTGTGTTTATAAATTCTTTGGCATTTACAAACATCTACAAGCAAGTGAAATAAATGAAAGAGATTGAAAGAAATTTCATTTTATTGATATGATGAAAACTTATATATCATGGATAATATTTCTTTCCAAAATCAAAGTTTACAAGTCTAAACAAATCTTCTTCATTCATTCATGTTAGTAATAATACTCCTCATAAAAATGTCTTTTTCACTATATATGGACTTTCATAATTTGGTGCCTATTTACTACGGTCTTCACCAAGTAGTGGTATAATTTTTCTTAACACAAGACCTCCTTTCTTGAACTCCCTTAATCGAACTTTTTGTCATACATTTTAGTCATCCTTTTGTGGTATAATTAGTGATGGAATATTACAACTAATCTCTTCTCACTAATCATATTTAGTTGCTTATATCATATTTTAGTCCATTCAACCTCAGCAAGCTTAGATTTGATTGGTACTTAAAAGTGCATTCTCATTAAAGTTTTATATCATCATATTGCACTTAAAGTATCATTAAATTCTCTAACTTAAGGTGTTTTATAATAGCAAGTATGATAATATAAGATAGCTTTAATTTATAGTAAATGCTTATTTTAAATGCAGACATATCTCACAATTCAAAGGATTGATTGATGTGGGTAACTATTGAAACTGAAAAGACAAAGAAGTGACTAAGATTAGAAAAGACATGCTGGTTCAATTCAAACTAGAACATCATTCAGTCATTGGGTTATATATGAAGCTATAGATTTTGGATTTCAATATGGTTTATATGGTTAGAAAGTTAAGATATAGGCTTAAAACATTCATGGGAGTTCAAGACTCAATTCTGTTATTTTGAAGTCCAAATCTTAGCATCAAAAGAGAAGTCTGAATCAGTCCCGCAGCTTAGATATTATTCAGTGTTCAGTCTATATTTTGAGTTCTAGAAGTTCAAATGAGCTCATTCTTTTTTTGGTAGAAAGCTGATACAGATTCCTATAGCTTTCATGAATACCATTTTGCCAAATTCTGATTGTGAAAATGTCATTTCATCCAGAAAACAAATCCATATCTAAACCAGCAAGTCCACTAAGTCATTAGTTGACCACTAATTCAATAGTTAATTAACAACTGAATAGTTCTTTTTTTCCCTATAAAAAGAGATATTTGTCATATATTTAGGCATCTTGATTTTCAAATCAAGATCATTTTCTTGCTTTCTCTTTTTGTAATGTCAAAGTTTTATTTCATTTTTTATTTTCATTAATTATCTCTTATTTATGTTTTTAATTTCCTTTACTACTCTTAATTAACTTATATCATAATTATGTTCTTATATTGTTTATTTATATTCTTCTTCTTCATTATGTCTAACTAAGTTAATTATATTAAGGTGAAAAGATTTCATTAATGGTGTTAGAATATGTATAATATAAACTCAATATGGATTTCAATGTTTATATCCAAGAAAGTTTGTTATTAGTATGTTTTATCTTTTTACCTTACTAATTCTTAATACCTTGCTTGTTAAATAATTAATCTAGATTTGTGTTGTATAACACTTGGTACAATAAATATTTGATCCTTCATAGTTTTCGGTTGACAACGTTATTATGAGAGGAACTTGATTTGTTATTAATATAAGTTAGCATCATGAATTCCTGACAATATTTAAAAGTATGATGTTACTAAAATAAGATAATTAATATGATCATGTTAAAAATTTATAATGAAATATTAAAGATAAATCATCCGATTGGAACCTCCTTTGTATGTAGTTTCCAATTGAGTAATAAAAAGAGTTTATATTATACTTATTTCTAATACTATTAGTGGATCCTCTAACCTTGACATCTGTTTTTATGATTGTTTAATCCTCATATTAATCTCATGTCTTAAAGATCTTTTTAACTCTTTGTTTATATATATATATATATATAGTTAACCTCTATGTGGATCGACCTCCGTTTTGTTGGGTTATTTATTACTTTGACACTCCTACACTTCGGATAAGACATCAACTCTTTGATCATGTTAAGATTCTATGAGGATCATCATAGAGGAAATTTCCACTTCCAAAGACAATTTAAGAACTCAAGTAGGATATTTTAAGGGTAATAATATCT